CGTATTTACTGTACAGACATGAGAGTGGCATTAATCTTCCTCATCTAACTCTCTGCAAGAGAGCAAGTAATTCTTTTAACCATTCCTTTAACCATTGGTAAAAGTATGTGCCAACAAAACAGGCCTAATCTAATCTCAAAAATCCACTTACTGCCTTCCGATCTTTCAGCAGCATCTCACGGTCTTCACTCAGAATGAAGCTCCAAGAGATTGTTTTATTCCATGTGACTTAACTGTTATTTGATTATTAAAATAGTTGATTTATTCCATGTTGATCAACGAATCCACTAATCTTACAATGAAATACTTATTCTGATAACAGCTACTTTTTATTAAAAATAAAAGTTATTCATATTTATAGTTAATAAAAATGTGGTTTTGCATGGTATTCACCATTTTTACGTGATCCTCCATTTCCTGTCTACACAACAACCTGCGTCACAAGTGTCTCCTCTGTTTAGAATTATCTCTTATTTTCAGTTTCAGCCTCCCATGAGGCCGCGGGGGGCTCTGGGTGGGAGGTATGGAGCATTCCACCTGGACACTAGTGCGTTCGCAGGCCGCTGTGTGTTTGTGTTGCATTACACATCGCAGCCTTCACAAGATCACTGGCTCCACTGGGCTTAGGCCCCTGGGATTTAAGCACGCAACCACCAGAGGCCAGAGAGAGAAGAGGGAGAGGAATGAAGATGAGATGTGGGATGATGGTGTGTGTGTGTGTGTGTGTGTGTGTGTTGCCCTGTCCTTCTACGGGTTGACTCCTGTGTCTCCTTGTTGAGGTGTTTTGTTAACCTCGTCTCTGGGAAGCGAAGGGTACACACAGGAGAATGAACAGATAAAGTGAGACGGGGCTGAAAATGCTCACACACACACACACTCGTCTAAGGCCTGCACTAAACTATTCCCACGCGTGTATACACACACACACACATACACAGAAAATCACCTGAATAACAGCTTATCCAATGTTTATTAAATGTTTCCAGGGTGAACGTCAGGCCAGCGGGATGCCATCCAGCTGTTTGTGTCTTTGTGTGTGTGGCGCTGCTCGTCAGAGGAGCAGCTTTCAGTCGTCGTTGTGCATTTTCTGTCCGATGCTCTCCCAGCTGGACGCCTCGGCCTGACCGCAGCGCCCTGCCCAGGGCGACGCTGAATAACAAAGAGGGATCAAACGCCGCACATGGCTTTGATGAAAACCTCGCAACTGCAGTGGAGCAAATCAGAGCAGGGCAGAGCTGAGTTGGACTCGATCCACACAGGCACAGAAGGGGTGGGGTGGTGGGGGGGGGGGTTGGGGGGGGGTGGGACCTGTTGATTTAGGAGGAGAAATAAGAGTGGGGTTCAGGGTTCCCCCAACGATTTAAATTTAAATCAAACGATTTACTGCAATTCAATTCACAAAACATTTCCAGGTAAATGATTTGTGAAATTAGTTAATGAGACTTTACATTATTATTATTATATCTGCTATTATATACTGCTCTTTTTGTAAAGTGATAGAGCCACGCTGCTGCTGGTGTTGGTGCTCTCTCTCTGTCTCTCTCTCTCTCTGTCAGGGTCTGTCTGTATTTTGTCTGACTGTGTTTTTCCACATGAAATAAGTTCATTTACCATTTCAAACAATTCATAAAATATTTGGCTATATGTTCTCTTTCGTAAATAGCCGTGACAGTAGCGTCCTCGCGTTGAGTCAGTGAAACACTTCGGAGCACTGACGTACGTGTTTGGTCCCCTTGAAATGTTTTTTATGGAGGACGTTGTCCATTTCTAAAGCAGTAGACATGGAACAACAACAGTATTCATTTGGATGTGTTTGCATTTACTTGTTGGGCTCCTTTTTTCTCTGTTTTTGGTCTCTACCAGTTCCTGAGGGAGATATGTTGTGTACATATTATATGTTGACCAGCTGGTCTCTATAACCGTGTCTGTCTGCTGTGGCGGGCAGCTACTGTGGGTTCATCAGAGCTAGTCATTCTTTCTATTTCAATGCGCTAAATATGCTAAATATGTGCGTAGGAATACGCACACATAGTTCAACAGCTGAAAAAAATGTAGTTCCAAAGGAAAGGGCTGTTTGACGGCAAGATAAAGCGGTGAAAATATTTAAAGTAAAGCGTACACTTTGGCTCACCTGGCAGAGCGCATACCACAAAGGCTTAGTCCAAACCACAGAGGTCCACGTTTGAATCCGACCCGTGGCCCTTTGCTGCATGTCTTCTTCTCTCTCTCTCTCTCTCTCTCTCTCTCTCTCTCTCTCCCTGACTTTACTGTCTTTCTTACTGCAACTTTCAGAATAAAGGCAGAAAAACTAAGAAAACAAGCGTACACTAGCTTTTTTGGTGTGGGCATTTTTTTAAAAAGTGAGTAAAACACGTTTTTGTGGATGTCCCCGTCCACAGCAGCACATCGCTCAGCGTCTGCTCCAGCTGCCTCTCTAAACTGGGAGCGCACTAATCTGAATCCACTGCAGGTAATACATTGACTATAGATATTCCCTCATAGTAGTACCTCATACAACCCCACATCAAATAACCCAAACATCACTTTAATCCATAGTTAATATGATCAACGCAGCTTTAAACAAAATGTCGGGGGGTTCCTGACATGAAAACACGGCAGACACTCTGACAAAGGATGGGGCCTTCGACTTTATGAGAGAGTGAGGTCACCCCAGAGGCTGGATATGAGCGGATGTGGCTGAGATGTGGTGGAGTGGGAGAGAGCGGGGGTTATCGCAGCGATGAGTGCTAAATACTGACACTGTCTGGATGGGAAGAGAAGAAGGCGGCCATCAAAGAGGCAAGAGAGAAAGAGAGAGACATTATCTGGACTGTTGAGAGGAGCAGATGAAAGGGTGAATGGAGAGGAGGGGCTGTTTGACTTCTGATATACTAATTATACTACCACATTTACAAATAGTATTAACATAATGCACTAATGCTAAATGTCTATTACTTTTATCCCAAGCACAGGAGGGTTTAAAGAGCTGAGCTACCAGCAAAACAAGATAAATAATCAGGTCGTCATTTCGATCGATCCTGTCCACCGGTGTAAAACACTGGTAGCGTGACTTTATGTTGTGCATTACAACTTTGTCAATAATCTGACAGCAGAAATCTTTGCAATCTGGATCGGTGCCAGGGCTTGATTGAGACGGGCAAACAGGGCTTTACAGAGGTATGTGTGGTCTTGGGAACTCATAACCCGAGACTCATAAAACAAGCTTGAGAAACCTCAAGGAAAAACATGTCTACTTGTACAGAATAATAGCCTGAAAGTTAATTTTGCTGGAATTTGCCTTTATTAAGAACCATAGTGATATTCAGAATCTGCCCATTGTACAGAGGAGCCTGCAAATACTTCATATCACAATAGTTGGATTTTCACATTTATTATGAGAAATGGGGCATTTCTCATTATATGCAGCTTTGGTTGCCATCAGTTGTGTCTACAGTAAATGTGCTACTTGGGTTTAATGCAGGTTAGTTTGGATGTGGATATTTGGATGAAAGAACGTTGAACGCTAAACGACGTGCTCGTCCGATTACTGGAACAAACTGGTGAAATCACTTTTCTCCTGTACTGGTATTGGCTTCCTGCTAGATTTCAGATTGGTTTTAAACATTTTATTGCTGACTTTTACGGTTTTAAACCGCCTAGCTTCCATTTACATCTTAGATTTACTGACATGGTATCTGCAGAAGGAGGCCTGCTGGTGACCTTAAGGTCAAGGCTTGTGACTTAGGGTGACCGGACTCTTGGTATTAGAGCCTCCCCTCTCCTGACTGAAATCAGACGCTATAACTCATTACCTTCTTTCAAATCTCTTCTTAGAACACATCTGTTTGTCTTAGCCCTTGGTAATGTTTGATATGTGTTTATTGTTTATTCCGAATTATTGTTCTAACATATTCTATTGCCTCTCTTTACCTATTGTGCGATCCCTTTGCATAATGTTTAATATGTTTTTTAATACTGTTCTACTCTTATTTACTTGCTTTTTGATTCATTCTCATTCATATTGTTGTCTTCACTTCTACTACGCTCAAGCTCTTTAGCCCTTCTATTTTATCTGGTTTCATTTTTCTGTGAAGCACTTTGTTACTTTGTTAAGAAAAGTGCTGTATAAATAAACATTAAAAAAAAGTCTACTTAGTCATAAAAATGAAGTCTAAAAATGCAAAAGAAAACAAAAAACAAAAGTTTCAAAATTGCCAAAAAAAACCTAAAAAAACTAATCTCCACTTTTCACAGTGCAAATAAGCATTTCCTTTGACTCAAGTGTTTGCAGGCGTGATCTGTCCTCTGTGCCTCGTTTCTGGAAAAATGACTGTGTCAAGTGAAACTGCACCAGTAGTGAGGAATTATCACCTCACTTTGTTTTAGAAAAACTATGATTTTCTAGACTCAACATGTGTTTGAGGAGAACAATACACAACCAGGGCTGCTCCCGCTGAGGGAGGCTCACTTTAAGAAAGTGAGCCTATTTCTGTGAGGTGCAGCTGGGCGAGGAGATATGAGACTGAAGTGACGTGAGGTGGATGTGTGAGGGTCACGGCATCCAGACCAATGCCATTTTCTCAGATTATGTGTGTGTGTGTGTGTGTGTGTGTGTGTGTGTGTGTGTATGCAGGATATCTCCCTGACCTGTCTGGCCTGGAGGTGGTGTGTGTGATAAGCCACTTTCCCTCCTCTCAGTGTCCTCATTACCAGACATTTATCCAAAACATTCCCACAACGTCATGGGAACTAACCGTCCTTACACCATCCCTGCTTCATCTGAATGGTGTCATCTAATTCAAAGGGAACATTAACTGTGACAATAACAAAACCAAAGTGACACCGTGGTGGAGATCAGTCATGCGTGTAGGCATCAGATTAAGTCTTATGAATGTTAGCTCACCTTTCAGCTCACCTGTAAACACTTTCCTTTACCTTTTGGAAAACAAAACTGTAAAACTGCGCTTTAAAGAGAACCTGTTGTGTTTTTTCTCTGTCAGGTACTTGGCCAAACTGTCGTCAGTGGGAAGCATCAGGGATGAGGAGACGTGCGAGAGGTTACGAGGCCTCATACAGAGACAGGTTCACACCTCTACTACTCTCCACTACTAAGTACTAACAACAATGATTCACTTGTTACATGATAAACACAAACTAACTATTCAATATTCAATAACAAATTGGCCTCATGGAGACCAGGCAAGAAAGACATAAGTTATACCAGGTTTGTAACAAGACTTAACATTAGCATTGTAGCTAAGGTGGTGCTATTCAGCTTTAGTACAGCACCATCGGGCGTTCCACAGTGGTGAATACTTTGTCAACCAATGCGCAGCACGCAGCACAGTTCGGCTATAATGTAAATACGCCGTTATAGGTTTGTTGGAAAGTGTATCTGTTTATGTGTAAAGTTTGGAAAAAGTGCAAAACAATCATATATTTAAAGTTTTAATGCTGTCAACCAGTGAGACCATGTTCTTAGCTCGGAAGCACGGTACAACAAAAACAACTCAGTGGCTTTGGCTACCTGTTTTAAGTTTTTACACATAAATAAGTAAATCAAAGCTACAATATGCAAGTTCTGGAAATCAAGCTAGTGCTAGCATGGGCCTAGCCTAGCACTGCTCTGTTACACAAAGTCCTTCACTTTCACCCTTGTCATATATGCTGATATTAGGTAATTGGCGAATCAGAAGCTTGCTAGTCTGTGAGTCAGCCCTAGCCACATCTTCCAGCAGCTAACGCTAGCTTGAAGCCTCAGTGTGAGACAAGTAGTAGATCAGGAGCGTGTTTGAAAATGTATTGACTGACAGCCATGAGCTCCCGCCCCTGACTTTGGCCTTGTCTGAGGCTCGCTCTTAACTTTGGAAGGAAATATCTCTGCACTGCTTCCAGGCTGTTCAGCGAGTGTTTGAAAGAGCTCCACATTAAGATATGTGTTGGAGCATATTTCATCTTATCTTTAGCTTTAATAAATACATTCAAATAAGTGCTTACCTTAAAGTGGGGTCAGCAGCAGGAAATACAACTTTTGGAGGGTTGGAAAAAAAAAGTGGGTGAAAACCATTGTGCCTAAGGTGAAGGTGAGAGTGTGAGCACACCTGTCTATGGAGGAGCTGTGAAGACTTTACTCACTATTTGTAATACGTGCATCAAACCTGAACCATATCCTGAACCTCCTGATATTTGCCTGAAAGCTAATATGTTTCTGTTATAATGTGGAGGCATTAAAACTCTCATCGTGCTCTCATTTGTTCACATGAATAACAGAAAGTCACCACCATTCATTTGGAGACAACATGTCACCATTGAGACTCACTATTTCAGTATGTATGTGTACTGTAGCTGACGTAGCTCCTGTGTGTCGCTGCTAAAGGTTCAGATCTGTAAGCGCAGCGTGGAGGTGATGGATGCGGTGCGTCGTGGAGCCCAGCTCGCCATAGACGAGTGTCAGTTTCAGTTTCGCAACCGTCGATGGAACTGCTCCACTCTGGAGACAATGCCTGTGTTTGGCAAAGTGGTCACCCAGGGTAAGATTATACACTGCAGCGAATCCTGTCACAAACATTTTATCCGTCAACTTAAATATATCTAAACATCTTAAAAATATTGTGACATTTTTTTAGTTTGTTTCCATTTGTGTTGGCTCCTCCCGCATGTTAATGTCTGGGCTCATGTAGACTTTAATACAAACTGCTTTTTCAATTCAGTATAAGAAGCTCCTTTCAGCTGCATAATGAAACAATATGACTGTGTTTGTGCGTGTGTGTGTGTGTGTGTGTGTGTGTGTGTGTGTGTGTGTGTGTGTGCTAGGCACCCGTGAGGCAGCCTTTGTGTATGCCATCTCAGCAGCCAGTGTGGCGTTTGCGGTCACAAGGGCCTGCAGCAGCGGAGAGCTGGAAAAATGTGGCTGCGACCACAATGTACATGGAGTCAGTCCAGAGGGTAGGTCTCTCTCTCTCTCTCTCTTTCACACAAACACAGACAGACAGACAGACACACACACACACACACACATATGCAAAAGCAACAGAAGGAACAACTGACCCAGTACATTTTAATTCAATAAATATGTGACATTTAAATGTTTATTTTATTTTGAAAGGACCGGACAGATATCATAGGTAGCATATTAATTATCTAGTCGTGTGTGTAGTGTACCCAGATCTTTTACAACATCAGTACCAGGTCATGCATTACTACAATGAGCCACCAATACCAAAATAAAAGTTTGTGTTGCATTCAAGTGTCATGTTTATGTAGTGTTTAAAGACAGGAAACATCTCTTCTTGATATGGTGTCATAGGGTTCCAGTGGTCGGGCTGCAGTGATAACATTGCGTATGGAGTGGCCTTTTCTCAGTCCTTTGTGGATGTGAGAGAGAGGAGTAAAGGCCAATCCTCCAGCCGAGCTCTCATGAACCTGCACAACAACGAGGCTGGAAGAAAGGTAGGAAAGATGAACCCTACTGAAGAAAACACTGCACAGGTGTTAGAGGAAGATGTTTTCTAAAGTTGAGAAGTGGAGTTTCTGGAAATGAGTCCAGTCTCAACTTATTTGAGATGACTGAGTTTTAAGTAATTTGAGATGTAGAAAAAGATAAATATACTATATATACAGGTCAGGTTCCAGGTTATTCGGGTTAAGTCCAAGTCAAGGTTCAAGTCAGGGAAGATAAGTCTTTCAAAATGATTCCATGTAATCTGACACAAGTCTACATCAAGTCTCAAGTACTTCAAGACAAGTCTTAAATTATCAGAGGTCCAGTTCAAGTCTGAAATCATTCAAGAATAATCTAAAGTCATTTGAGACAAGTCCTATAAAGTCTCCGGTCTGTTACATCACGTCTGAAGTCAAGTCTCAAGTCATATTAATAATAATAATAATAAACTTTGTTTATATAACGTCTTTCAAAACACAGTTACAGAGTGCTTTACAAGACAATATAAATATAATTAAAGATATAGATGATAAAAGGAACAAAAAAAGTTTGTGAGTCAGTCAGTTCATAGTGTGTGAAGTCTCTGAATGCTGACATTCTGGTGCTGCTTTCAACATTTTCATTTGTTATTAACAGTTGTTAATAGTGAGTTTCACAAAACTGAGAACATGTCCTAAATATTACATGACATTACATTTATTCATTTGGCAGACCTTGGTGTAAGTACTAAGTACTACCTCTATTTAATACGTGCAAGGAAAATAGACCTAAATATAAATAATAGACCTAAATATTCGTTAAATATTAGGCTTTGTCATCCCTGTCTGTAGATTTTTTCAGTTTAGAATTAGATTCAGGTCTGGAATATGTCTCACAGCAGTCAAGTCAAAATTCTTCACTTTTGTTTGAGGGGTGGATGTTGGCATCCAGAGCAGCTCGTCTTGATGGATATGATGCATCATCTTATCTCAGTGTCTGTGTGCTAATCACAGTTTGTTTGGCCTCTCTACAGGCCATCCTGTCCCACATGCGTGTGGAGTGCAAATGTCACGGTGTGTCAGGCTCCTGTGAGGTAAAGACCTGCTGGAAAGCCATGCCGCCCTTCCGCAAGGTGGGTAACGTCATCAAGGAGAAGTTTGACGGCGCCACTGAGGTGGAGCAGCGCAAGGTGGGCACCACCAAAGTCCTGGTGCCTCGCAACTCCCAGTTCAAACCTCACACGGACGAAGACCTGGTCTACCTGGACCCCAGTCCAGATTTCTGTGACTATGATCCACGCACGCCGGGTATGCTGGGCACGGTGGGCCGCCAGTGTAACAGAACGTCGAAGGCCATTGACGGCTGCGAGCTGATGTGCTGCGGTCGCGGCTTCCAGACGCAGGAGGTGGAGGTGGTGGACAGGTGCAGCTGTAAGTTCCACTGGTGCTGTTACGTCAAATGCAAACAGTGCCGCAAAATGGTGGAGATGCACACTTGCCGGTGATGGACGTGGGAGCACAGAAGGCGCTGCTGATGAACAAAACAAACGCCCCACACTCTTTCTCAATCACCAAGGCTTAGAGGGAGCGAGGAGGACTTGTGACGCTCCCTCTTCTCCTGCTTGAAACCACCCCACCCTCCTACTACTGGTCAACGGAAACAGACTGAGTGGCTGAGAGGTCAAAGGTCATCCTATTCATTTTGTGCCACCGTAATGGATATCAGTAGTTTATGCATGGGATTTCCTACAAAGCTACAGAGGCAGTTTGTTTCTTCTGAAGTAGAGAGCATCTTTCACTTTCTGTCCCCCTCCCTCACTCTCATGTTTGGTTTGTCATTGATGCTTCTTATTTTTGTAATGTTTAACTTATTTGTTGAGACTGAGGTGATTGACCGGGGGGGGGGGGGGACCTAGAAGGAGGGGACAGACGAGTGGAGATAAGGGACAAACTGGACCCATGGGTGGGCAGATGGGTGGGTGGGATTAAGGGGTTAGGGTGGGGTCAAGAGGAGTGTCGTTTGCCCTCTGTCCTTGCTGCTGCTGCTTCGGTGACTCACTCTGAGTGCTGGATGTCAAAAAGGGAGACGCCAAATCTGTCGGAGGATGGACTTGAACAACGAAGAGGAATGAGTCGCAGACGGACTCTCTGTGATTCTGAGTGTACATGGCTGCGCTGCGCTGAGGTTCAATTTGCTGTTGACTCATTTATTTTGCCCCCTGCAAAGCCCTGATGCTGCTCCACTCACACACACTCACTCTCTTTCCGTCAGAGGGAGGACGATGATGAACAGGTGAAAGCCACTGTCAGCTCCTTTCTGTCTTTTCTGTCGGCCAGTAGCTCCGGCAGGTGATGGGCATCAGACACAAAACACACTCACATACTCCAAAGCAACACCTGTATTCATCCATACCTGCTACCTGCAAAACCAGAAACCCTGTACTGAAACAGATTCCAGATCAGATATAAAAAAAAGATTTGTTACCATATCAGAGCATCTTATTGTGAAAATCTCTTGCGTGCTCTTTTTGGACTGATGTTGATCTTGGCCTCCTCCTGCATGTCGCCATCTGCCAAACGCTAGTTGGCTTAACGCAAACACAAGTAAACACACAGAGACATGCATGCACCAGCGAACACACACCGTGTAAACACACACAAAGGGGTCTGCCAGAGGGTTGCCGAGCATGTTCACCATGCATGATGACTGAAGCACTTTCTCTCCAAGCGCACATAGAGCCCTCGCCCCACAGCGACAAACCTCCAGCCACATATTCAATTTAATCTCACACACACACACACACACACACACACACACACACACACACACACACAGTTTGCCATGCCACTGTCGGGACTCTTGTTGTCTTGTACCACCACCATAAAGCCAAGCTTTCCTATAATAACGTGCTATCATTATAGAGGCATACTGTAGATCTGTAAAGACTTATACACTGAAGAAGACTATACTGCCTATGAATGTATGTTAATACGGAATATATGCTGTGTCAAAAATTGACTGTTGTGGATTCTTTCAAGAGAAACTACGTGTTGTGTGTGTGTGTGTGTGTGTGTGTGAGAGAGAGAGAGAGAGAGAGAGAGAGAGAGAGAAAGAATGCCACAAAAACAATGTTGCCCAGAAGGAAAGAAAGAACATGAGGGGACAGAAGGATGGAAAGTGAAAGAGAGCAGATCCTATTCCACCACCAAGCCCTGAAACACACACATACACACACACACACACACACACACACACACACACACACACACAGCCCTGCTGACAGACATACACATATTTCAATAAAATCGTCCATTTCCCGTGTCTTTCAGCTGCGTTATTATGTGGCCACAGCGTGCACCGTGCAGCATTTCATCTGTGTGTGTGCGTGTGCTGTTTGTGTGAGGTACATTACACCCCGAGGTCCTTCCCTGCACCCCTGACACCTATAAACACAATTTATGCGCCGTATATCACCACATACAGTATATCAAGCAGCGATAGATGGATGTGTTTCCCGCGGCGCTGGGAACCTGGTAGTCTGGTTTCAGGAAGAACCAGAGCTGCCACTCGGGTTTCAGCAACCGTCTGATTGGGTTTGGGCAGAAGAGGGAACAGAGGCAGGAACACCGGGCTAGAGCAGGGATTACAGCGAAATGCAGACCACATGGCACAAGCTTTTTCCCTCCTCCTGTCTCTATCAATAGCATACTGCCCCCCCCCCACCTCCCCAACTCTGGCTTTCTCACTCTTTCTCCTGCAATATCTTTGACTTACACTGGTTCCAGTCCGCTCCCCCTCTGCAGAAAGTGTAACTCTAACCGCTCTCGGCCTACGATGGCGGGGGATCTGTCCTTCATTAAGCTACCATGATGGCCTAGATGAGATGGGTGGTGGTGGCCACACTGATTGGGAATGTCTGTGGGCTCGTATGTGTGTGTGCTTAGCCTGTCAGACAGCCATATGTACAGTCAGGCAGTCAGTCAGTCAGAGAACTCTAATGCCTCTTGTGGTTTGCTGCGGTTGTGGCGGAGACAAGAGGCTGACAGTAGGGTTTTACCACTTAGTGCGTGTGTGTGTGTGTGTGTGTTTGTGGGAGTGTGTCAAATTTAAAATGCAACAAATATGGGTTTATGAAGGATGATACAAATATTTGTGGAATGAAACTACTCATAGCTCATTTTGTACTAGTATCTACCATCTATGCAGAATCCTTTCAGGGCCAAAAATCCCACTGCTCAATCACTGGATCAGGACGCAGACATGCCTTCTCTATTCATTACACTTTCTGCTGCTACTACTAGTTTATGGTGGTAAGCTATGGTGTTGCCTAATGTTCTTTAGGTAGATGTAGCTGTAATTGACATTACATACTCAGTTCACTTACTTTATTTTACTTACTTTTACTTTTACTTTTATTTACTCTTCTGTACTTGTGTTGCAGTTTTAGCACTGCCATCACTCTGTAATCATCACTTGTGGCCTTAGTAGCAAAAGTTGCACCTCATGTTAAAGGAGCTATTTGTAACTTTCACTATTGCTACATAGCTAAGGTTAGCATTAACAGCTGTTTACTTACCACTCTGGAAGAAACCTTGTAAGTTCAGCATCAAACTTTACTCCTTTACTCACCCAGAGCTGTCAGAGGTGCAAAGCAACCCTCTTGTTTTGCTTCTATGTCTATATCACGTCTTTTGTTCTACTGAAGTTAGCATGCACTTTCTGATACCCAATCACTGTAGCCTCCAATCTGCCCTGTAAACATAGTGCTGCTCACAGGGTGTATTATAACCTCTTGTCATGTAAAGCCGTTGATGGCCGAAGCTCTTGTCAAGCAACGAGATCCCAACAAGAAACCTCATTCAGCAGAGAAAACTTACAGGTAGCCTCTAATGAAATAGATTCATAGCAGATTCATGATTATGTAAATGTGTAAATTACAGAGATTTTACAAATGATTTTAAAATGAACACAATTTAACATGTATTAGTTCTACTTTTGAGTGGACCTAGAAGCTACACTACACTCTCCACTCTGTAAACATCTTCCAGATCATCTGACTTTTGGTAAAGAAAACAGTAATATTCTCCAAAATACTATTTAATTTACTAAACCTAGTCAGTATTAGCAAACAAGTATATAATAATACAAACTGGATAAAGCATTTCTACAGCAGGAGACACACTTTTAAAGTTGGACAGTGCACTATATCCATAGTAACAGGGCAAGTGAGAGTCCGCCAGCTGTTCCTCTTGCTTCTGTAACTCAGTGCAATCTCTCATTCAGTATTTCTGTCATCAGCCTGTGTTGTTTGAGTTTCCATATTCTAAGACACATCTGCATCCACTACAGTGCTCGCTATTTGAAGATGAAAACTCTGGGATTTTGATGTTTACAGATTTTAAAATTACTTCAAACAAAAAAAAATTACAGCTCTCATGAATATTTATTGGCATGGCAGTAGTAACCTGGTTTTGTTCACAAAGCGTCTCTTCTACAGTCATTTTTCCAACTTTATAGCCATAATTTCTGCTGTCTAAAAATGTTGTCCTCTCTGTCCTGCTGTTATTACAGACGTGTCTCAGCCAACCGTGAACTCCTGACTCAACCCTTTAGGGATTATGGGAAATGGTGTTTGTTAAAGGCCTCTAAAAACAGAAATATTGAATAAATAATATTAGATCTCTTTATAAAAATGTACCAGTCTAACTTGAACACTTGAAGCGATCCACATGACAGACTGTTGAGAAAGGCTGCACTTGTAGTTCTTTACATTACTAATAATGTCAATAAGATTTTGAGTGAGGTTTTCTTACCTTGGGAAAAACCCCAGAAGTTCTGGTTTCACATCAGCTCCTGAACTAACTTTTATTCAGTGTATCAACATAAAAATGACAGGTACAACAAATCACATAAGTCACGCAAACTTTATAATGAAAACAACCTGACAAATGCAATTAGTTTGATGTGTTGTTCAATGAGCGTGTGTTACATCTAACAGAAGCGCTGGTTCTCCACTGGTAAATACTTCCTAAAGGTATGAGAGGTAATGAGATAACGATGGTGTCATTTCACTCTTTCACATAAATCTTCCAGCCTATTCGTCTCCCAGACAGGCGGCTAATAGTTCAAATTACAGCTCAGGTACCTCTGCATACCTCAGGTTAAAGGTTTTCTGATGCTGTCTCTCTCGCTCTCTCTCTCCCTCTCTCTCTCTCTCGGTGTGTGTGTTGTGAGTGTGAAGGGTTAACAGTGCAGGTTGGCTGGATATTAATGCCACTCGCTCAGAGAACCCAGGAGAAGGCTGGCTTTAGCCCAGGGCCCAGCCCTCCCAGGCCTCTCTCAAACTCCCAGATCTCTTCAGCATACTTCTCATATTAAAAGAAAACAAGTTACACAAATGAGACAGATGGTTCTTGTTTGTGATGACAGTTGCAATTCTTTCTCTGTTGGCCCTCCTCCCCTCTTCTTCCCTCTCGGCTTTCCTCTGGTGTCTCTGCTGTTTTTTGCCCTAAAACAGCCACGTTGTGCAACATGAGCGGAGCGGGCGAGAGAGTCGAGCTCGTGGGCATCAAGACACGGACGACAGGCTTCACATCTGACACGGCTACTACACTATAAACCCCTTATTAACTCGCTGTATTTTCCCTGACACCGCCTGTAAGTGTGATGTCCTGTCCACCCACAAGTGGACATTAAGTCTCTCAAAAGCTGGGTAAACTGCTCCTCCAGTAGGTGTAATGTGTGCTCTCATTCATGCCGTTTCCCATCTCTTCATATAGCAGCCGTATCTTCCATGTATCGCAATCTTATGCTGCTATTTTGCATTATCAAAATATGGTGTCAGCACCAATTACAAGTATGAGGAAAGACACAAACCATCAA